ACTCCAGTTCCAGGGGAATCCAAAGCCCTCTTCTGATCTCCACGGCATTGCACGACACAGGTGCACTCACATACATGCAGGCAATACACTCATACACATTAAAAAAAATTTAAATTTAACAAAAGCTTCAAAAGAGGCAGAAATAACATTGCTGAGTTCATCACACTTTTAAAGTGATCAGTGTTCTATGAAGTAAAACTTGCAGTCAGTGAAAGTTGGGACTTTTTTCCTTCCTCAGAACCATTTTTGGTTCCTTAGTGTTTGCATCTTCCTGCTCTGGAACCAAATGGGCCTTGCAGTTGCAGCCCCCAAAACTCCCAGGCTCCCAGGGAAAGCTGAGTAAGCCACTTCTCTAGGTGTCCCTTGACCAAGTCTCCTGGGTCTCAGGGACTTGGAAGCAAAGAGTGCTCTTTTTATGGCTTCTGCTGTACAGCATGAACTCAGTTCTGCCCACCAGCCCACTTTGTTTGGTCCTACCCAGTACTTCCTTCCTGGAAGGTCTCGGTCCTGCTCCTTCCTCTCCTACCTGACCCCTAGGTCTTCATTCATTCATGATCTGTCCTGTTCTAGGCTGGCTCTTTGCTCATCCTGTGAGGCTGCTGCCAGTTTCATCTTGAAACACTGTTAGGATCAGTGTCTCCCTAACCCTCCCTGTCGCTGCAGTGGAAAGCTAGACTTAACTTCCCTTCCCTTCTTTCTCTTTTCCTTCCCCTCCATCTCCTCTTTCCTTTTCTCTTTCCCCTCTTAGTTCCTTGTTTCCTTCCTTTCTCTTTTCCTGTGTTGGGGATGAGCCCAGCACATTGAACAGGCACATACTCTGCCACTGCACCACGCCTCAGCCCAGCCTGAACTTCGAAGCCTGCCTTCCTGATCTGTCATTGTCCATGGCCTGCCTCCCCTCCAGGTGCACCTTTATCTTCCCTTCCAAATGTACCTCTATCTGCCTGTGCCTGTGCAGTTGGCTTCTGCCTTGCACATGGCAGCCTCTTGAAGCTTCTGGAAGCCACAGCTCTTCCACAGAGCTCTTGTCCAACAGCCATTCTTTTCAGAACACTGTTGGTGTCCACTGGCCAACTCATTCATGTGACACTTCATTCATCAAGCAAATGCTGTGGATACTCAGGAAGCCGGCCTCTGGGCTCAGGGCTTCGTGCTTTGTGTGGCCTGCCCTGCAAAAAACAAAACAACAGAAAACCCATGGGTGGTCAAGTAGTGATCTGCACAGGGAATTCTTTACTCATTTGACTTTTTGATTAAATTCTATACATTACCATTTTACAGTAAAAATCTGTGAATTAAGTTCATCAGCCGAATCATAAGACAGAGTAGATAAGAAACTGCTTTCTTATTAGATTGGCCCTACTCACATTAGCTTTTCTGCTTTTTTTTCTTCAGTCTGCATGAAGAAATCAGTGATTTTTATGAGTACATGTCTCCCAGACCTGAGGAGGAAAAGATGCGGATGGAGGTGGTGAACAGGATCGAGAGTGTGATTAAGGAGCTCTGGCCCAGTGCTGATGTGAGTACCTATTCTGGGAACTGGGGCACCAGGCAAAGCCCAGCCCACAGAATTGGGACTTGCCTGTTGATGTCTTGTGTAGAAACCTCACCCACAGTGTAAGTGCTTTTGGAGAGTTATAGTCTAATTCCCACCCCCACCCCCGGTCTTTTGAGACAGAGTCTCCCTATAGCCCCAGCTGGCCTAGAACTCACTATGTAGACCAGGCTGACCTGGAACTCACAGAGATCCACCTGCCTCTGCCTCCCGAGTGCTAGGACGAAAGGTGTGTACCACCACACCCAGCTTTGGAAAAAAAAAAAAAAATGTAGACAACTGGGCATACAGTCTGCATCGTGAGTTCAGGCCAGCTGTGGCTATAGGGAGATCCTGGTCTCAAAAAGATTTTTTTAAAAAGGGGGGCTGGATTGTTAAGAACACTGGCTGTTCTTGCAGAAAACCAGGTTTGAATCCCAGCACCACATGGCAGCTAACAACTGTCCGTAACTCCAGTTCCAGGGGATCTGACAGCCTCTTCTGTCCTCCATGGGCATTTCACAATGTGGGTGCATGTACCTACATGCAGGCAATACATGCATACATATAAAATAAAATAATTAAAATAAATAAAAAATAAAAAAGACAGGGTATTGCTACATAGCCCTGCCTATTCTGGTCCTAGAATTTGCTGTGTAGACCAGGCAGGCACTGAACTCACAAGAGATAGCCTATCTCTGGCTCCCAGACATGTACCACGCCTGGCTTTGGTCAAATTACATTTTAAAGGCAAATAATTTTCTGCAGCCTTTAGAACTTGGGGTTTGGTAATTATATCCATCCATTCAGATGCCTTAGAACTTTTGTCCAGTGTTAAGGAGCACCCACTAAAGGTTAACTAAATTTCAGAATCATTAATATAAAGAAAAGGTAAATCAAACCTCATTGTGGTAGTCTGTTACTGAATGAGATTTATCAAAACCCTATCATTGATCTTTTTAATTTTTTTATTCTATTCTATTTTATTATATTATGCTATTTTATTATTTTATTTTTTGGTCTTCTTGAGACAGGGTCTCCCTGTAGCCCCAGCTCACCTGGAACTCACTATGTAGACCAGGCTGGCCTCAAACTCACAGAGATCTGCCTGCCTCTGCCTCCCAAGTCCTGGGATTAAAGGCGTGCGCCATGATGCCCGGCTTTTTAAATTTTTAAAAATACTTTATTTTTATTTTATGTGTATGAGTGTATTGCATGTATGTGAGTAAACCCATGTTGTGCAATACCTCGGAGGTCAGAAGAGGGCTTCAGATTCCCCTGGAACTGAAGTTAAGGACGGTTTGTAGCCGCCATGTAGGTGCTGGGAATCGAACCCGGGTCCTCTGCAAGAGCAGTCAGTGCTCTTAATCGCTGAGCCATCTCTCCAGCTCCCCATTGATCTTTAAAAAAAATAATTTTATTTTTATGTATGAGTGTATTGCCTGCATGTTAGTAAGTGTACCCATGTCATGCAGTACCCATGGATGTCACATTCCCTGGAACTGGAGTTGGGATGGTTGTTTGCTGCCATGTGGTGCTGGGAATTGAACCCGGGTCCTCTGCAAGAGCAGCCAGTGCTCATTACTGAGCATCTCTCCAGTCCCATCACTGTTCTTATTCTAACCTGTCAGTGTAAACATTGCAATTGCTCATAGCGCAAGGATTTTCTGCTTGGAGTCTCAGGCAAGTCTGTAACTTACTTTTGAAGCCACTGTTTTTCCTCTGGCCACCTTCTTGCTTCCCAGTGTATCCTCCACTCTGAACAAGTTTTTGCCTGCATCTCCATTTACTTGTGACTTTCAGTACTGGTGCTGATACTTTTTAGGATTCCTTTCCAGGTCTAGTCTATAATTCTGTACATTCAAAGAAGCATCATTACTTTGTATTGCATAACTTTTCTTTAGACTCAGCCCTCAAGTGGCATAGGGGAGACAGGAAGGGTTTTGTTCGTTTGGCAAAAGAAGGAAGCTCAATATTTGCCATAAACAAAGAATTTATAAAAGCCCTGAGTATTTCACTGAGCAGCATTTTGTTTTCTCTTGTGATCCATGCTGGGCTGATTTTGTTCCCTTGGGGCCGGTGGCCTTGCTGTGGCTTGTTGACATCTAGTGAGTAGGGATAGGCAGGCTGCTAAATGTGATGCAATGAACTAGACAGCCCCTACAGCAAGGAATGACCTACCCAGGCAGGTTGAGCTATCCTGGTCTTCTAACTTGACGTTCATGTTTCTGAGGTAGGCAATTTTAGGCTGTGGTTAGGTTCCCAGGCCTGGTTCACCAGAAAGAGTTAGCAGTCACACCATTTATCCTTTACTGGATTTACAGATGTATGTAAACATGCCTAAGTTCCACTATGTTCACTGGGCCAAGATGGAGTTTGTTTTGGTTTATTGCACGGCAGAATCTTATAAAGACAGTGTCCTGTATTCTTTGTTGAGGTATCCTGTAGGCAGTGCTTTTTCTGCAACTGAGATATCCTGAATCCATGAGAAAAAGCCTACTCAGAGAACAAAAATTAAGGGTTTGTGATTGTGTTTGTAAAGGGGAATATTAGTTTCCTGAACATAACTTTAGAAACTTCTCTATTTTAAATAAATTTTTTTTCATTTACTGTTGTGTTTATGTAAGATGTATATGTGTAGCTGTGGGTTTAGAGGTCAGATGACAACTTTATGGAGTAAGTTCTCTCCTTCCACCTTTACATAGGCTCTGGAGATCAAACTCAGGTCATCAGACTTGCGTAGCAAGCATCTTTAACCACTGAGCCATCTTGCCATTCCTAAGTTCTCTATTGTAGATTGTATATTTCTGTGTTTGAATATGGTAAAATTATGTTTTGATCGGCTGCCTTTGAGACACAGCATTCCCACTTCAAGAAAGCATGGTATTGGGATGGCGTGAGGTGGCAATACTCTTGTAGTTCTAAAAACTACCAGTGGAGGGTAGCAAGAACATGCTTTTCTCTAAATTGGTGACTTATCTGTTTCTCTTTCAGGTCCAGATATTTGGAAGTTTTAAAACTGGCCTGTATTTACCTACTAGGTTAGTACACTTATGAAGCTTTGAAAGGGATTTATATGTGTTTTGGCTATCGAATGTGTCCAAATTAGAAACAAAACATACTTATAAATCCAATGTATTGACTTGTATTTTATTTGAGTTGTCTTAAAGTAGCTTATCACTCCTGATCATCTGTCTGGCTGAGATGTACAAGAGAGATCTGAGAGGGAATATGGAGCAGCGAAATCAGTTACTGACTGAGAATTAATTGCTTGCAGCAAAGTGCTTAACCCTGAGACTTAATGTGGACACAGGTGGCAGCCTCATGATGCACCTCTGATTATCATGTGCTGCTAGACATGCTGCATGGTTGGGAGGGCTCGCTCTTTATGAAGAGCCTCATGCATTCTGCCATGCCCTCAGCATCCCACCACAGAACTTAACTCAGAGGAGGACCTTGACTGTTTTAGGACTTTTGTTCCATCCCATCACCCTCTAATGAGGACTTGCTTGATCCACAGCTTAGGAAGACCCCTTTTGAGGATGGTCCCTGCAGATGTGTGGGCTCTCTTCCCTCAAAGCATGTTAAAGTAGTTGGATCCTACCCATCTTCGTTCTTCCCAGGGCTATCTTTGGCCTCCTAAACCCATAAAATATTCAAGTTCATTAATGTTTTTCCTTATTTAGGTTCCAAGCTTCAGTAAGACCTTAAAAAAATCACTCTTTAGAAAAACTACAAATAGAATAGTCATCATAGTTTAGATATGGAAAAGACACAAAAACAATGAGAGTGAAACCTCAGTCCCACCTTGTCCATGGCTCTCCTGTGTAGACCAGCCCTTGTACCAGTCTCTCATTTGTCCTTCACAGAGGCCTGTGTGTACACAGGTGGGAGCAGGCTGGGCACTCTTGGATTTTATAGCTTAATACTTTTTTCTAAGTCACAATCTCATCAGTGGCACAGAAACCACAAGACTTAATGAAAAGGAAGCATTCATGATATTAGTATGTTAGCAGTTTTATTTCTTGCAGAATCATACTACTCCCTGGGGCCTTGAGTTTTGTGAAATAACTGAGAGAATAAGGTTGCTAAAATCAACACCCTCTACTTCCCCTGCTACCACTTCCTCTCTGAAACCCGTCACCATCAGCACATTGGTCTTCCAAGGCAAAGACGGAAATGGGTTCTCAGTGCACAAACTTGACATTGCTAAGTGTGGCTGTCAGCTAAAAGGAGGACTGTTTCATGCTTCTTCAGACCTTCCCTATGTTCTCTGCATGCAGTGACATCGATCTTGTGGTGTTTGGGAAGTGGGAGAATCTACCCCTCTGGACCCTGGAAGAAGCACTTCGGAAACACAAAGTCGCCGACGAGGATTCAGTGAAAGTTCTAGACAAAGCAACAGTAAGTTCTTAGCCTTGTGTCTTTACAAGCCTTGTTATTTACACATGAAACTTAGACTTTAATTTTGGTTAGCTTAGGTGGATTGTGAATCAGTGAGTCTCTTTGCCCTGGCTATGCATTTCTTTAAGAAATAATGGCCAATTATTTCATGCATAATATGTAAATAAAAATAAGAGATTTTGGGCTGGATGTGGTGGCATGTGCTTTTAAAATCTCATCACTTAGGAAGCAGAAGCAGGCACAGTTTGAGGCCATCCTGGTCTACATAGGGAATTCCACACCAAACAAATAAGACAAAATGCACCCAAAACAAAAATTATGTACTTCTAGCAGGGCGTGTTGGTGCACGCCTTTAATTCTGGCACTCGGGAGGCAGAGGCAGGTGGATCTCTGTGAGTTCAAGGCCAGCCTGGTCTACATAGTGAGTTCAGGACAGCTGGAGCTACAGGAAGACCCTGTCTCAAAAAGACCAAAAAAAAAAAGTACTTCTATTAAAGTAGCTTATAGTTGCACAAAAGATGTTGTTCTCTTTTAGTTTTTATTTGAGATTTTGTAAATCCAAGTTTATTTTTTTTAAAAGATTTTTATTGTGTGTCTCTGTCTTATGTATGCCATGTGTACGGGTGCCTGTGGAGGCCTGCCAGAAGACGGCATCTAGAGTCTTGGGAACTAGAGTTACAGGTGGTTAGAAGCCATCTGATATGGGTGTTGGGCACCAAACTCAGCAAGAGCTGAGCAGCAAGTGCTCTTAACTGCTGAGTTATCTTTCCGTCTCCTTAAGTCGTAGTCTAAGCATAGTTGAGGACTGGCTTTTTATATATATGTATAATTTTTTGAGAATTTCATCCATGAGTATTGTGTTTGCATTATTTCCAGCCCTCCTGTCCTTCTCCAACTCCTCCTATGAACCCCCTACTCTCACAATTTGATTATTATTACTATATATACACATACATACATTTATAAATATACATATACATACATATATATATAAAATGTACCGAGTCCATTTGGTGGTGCTTATGTGTACCTGTGTTTGGGTACTACTCACTTGGTTGTTTAAATAACCTCTCAGGGAGCTAGTCCCTGAAGAAAACTGATTCTCCCTCCCTCAGCATCTGTTGATTGCTGTAGCTCTTCATCTTGAGGTGGGACCCCATGACATTCCCATCTTCCTTGGCATGTCACTGGTTTTCTCATTATGCAGATCTTGTTAGGCTCCCATACTGTGGTGATTTCATGGGTATAGCTTCCTTATCATATCCAGAATGCATCCACCTGCGAGTGTCCTGGCTGCACTAACTAGTAAAGAACTTTCATGAAAACTCAGTATAGAAATTTGTTCTTTGTCCCCTTTTTTTCCTTATGAAAAGCTATTAATTTGGAGACCCAATTCACATGGCAGATAGAGTGCTGAATTTACATCTTGATATCATATGTAAATCTTCATGTTTTAAAATTGTTCTATTTAAATTTTTAAATTACATTTAGTGTGTGTGTGTGTGTGTGTGTGTATGTGTGTGTTTTGTGATGGTCAGGACAACTTTCAGGAGGCAGTTCTCTCCTTCCACATACGCCTGTAGTCCCAGCACTTGGGAGGCAGAGGCAGGCAGATCTCTGTGAGTTCAAGGCCAGCCTGGTCTATATAGTGAGTTCCACAACAGCTGGGGCTATAGGGAGACCCTGCTTCAAAAAGACAAAAAACAAAACAAAAAAACCACTTTATTTGGGCTGGAGAGATTGCTCAGTGGTTAAGAACACTGGCTGTTCTTGCAGAAGACCTGGGTTTGAATCCCACCACCTACATGGCAGCTAACAACTGTCTGTAACTCCAGTTCCATGTGTATGCAGTGCCCACAGAGGCCAGAAGAGGGTGTTGGATCCCCTAGAACTGGAGTTACAGATGTATGTTATCTACTATGTGTGTGCTAGGAATAGAACCCAGGTCCTCTGAAAGAACAGCAAGACTGCTGAGCTGTCTCTTCAGGCCCCAACATTAATCATTCTTTCTCTTTTACTGAATTGGAAAGTGTTCGCCAAAGTATATAGAGTGTTGAGAAAGTATTTTGTCATGTGATTTCAAAATTCTGAATTAATGCTCCCGTATGCCAGTATCAACATAAACATCAAAACCTCATGCCTTAAATACATAAAATAAAGATAATAAATAATAAATTAAGACATAGGAAAGTTGTTTGGATACCCAAAGAAACAAAATTCTCAATTCATAGAAATTACAAAACATCGCATGGGTTAAATGCTAAGCGCATCGTGTACATCCTGTGTAGAGTGCAAATCAGCTGTGGTGCCTGGCCTCAGACAGCTGTTCTTATGTCCTCACAAGAAGATGGAGCTCTCTGACCTACTAAGCTTATGTCTCTGGTTTTGTCATTTAATATGAAGAGAAGATTTTATCTTCCTTTTCTTCTTTTTTAGGTACCGATTATTAAATTAACAGATTCTTTTACTGAAGTGAAAGTTGATATCAGCTTTAATGTCCAGAATGGCGTGAGAGCAGCGGACCTCATCAAAGACTTTACTAAGGTCAGAGCCTCGATAGGGTCTGTGCACTGAAACTGCTGAGGTGCGTGTTTGCCCTGAGTCCTAGCCGTGCTGTGTGTGGGTGTCCTTTGCTCAGCTGTTGTGTGTACATGCTACTGACAAGTGTTTCTTATTTTCTTTTCCTTTTTGGTCTTTTTGAGACAGGGTCTGGCCTGGAACTTACTATGTAGACCAGGCTGGCCTTGAACTCACAGAGTCCCAGTGCTGGGACTAAAGGCATGTGCCACACCCGGCAGATGTTTCTTGCTTTGTATGAACTTCTGTGCTTCCTCTGAATGGCCTTGAAGTGGGCAGCAGTTACAGTGGACTTCAGATAAGAATTGGAAGGAGGGGAAGTTAGGAAGATGTCTGAGAACCACCTCTGCTCTGCATCTTTAGGCTGAGCGACGTAAGGTCTGAGACGGTGTTCTGTGGTGATTCTTGGCTGTTTTTATCTCTAAATTCAGGTTAAGACCCTCCTGAGGGGCCTTTCTCTCCTACTCTCCATGTTCCTGAAGGCGGTGCCTGCAGGTGTCCTTCCTTTGTCTTGAGGCACTGTTTCTTGGTGGCCCTCTTGTTTCTGTTAGTTCTGTTTTCTTCCAAAAGAAAGCCAGGAGAGCTCACCGCCATTATCCTCAGAGCATTGTCTGTATCGAGGTGGCTGCTGCTTCCCTTGACGCGAAAAATGGTGACTGCTTTAGTTTGTGTATCTGTTCTGTGTAGGTTCACAGTTCTTGACTTCAGCAGTTCTCAAGTTCCTACCATCATTTCTTTTTCTTTTCTTTTGTTTCTTTTTTATTTTTGTTTTGAGGCAAGGTCTTGCTGTGTGATCACAAACTTGTGATCCTTTTGTTGTTTTTTTCTTCTTCTTCTTTTGAGATAGGGTCTCCCTGAAGCCCTGAAGCTGGCCTGGAACTTGCTATATCTAGACTAGGCTGGCCTCAATTTCAACAGAGATCCGCCTGTCTCTGCCTCCAGAGTGCTGTTATTAAGGGCAAGTGCCACCTTACCTGGCTTCGTTTGTGATCCTTTTTTCTGGGAGGAGGGCAGGGGGTCTTTTTGAATCAGGGTCTCCCTGTATCCCAAGTTGGCACGTAGTCTACCTGCTTCTGCCTCCCAAGTGCTGGTACTAATGGTGTGTGCCACCACTCCCTGCTACTTGTGATCCTTTTGACTCAGCTTCTATAGTGCTGAGGTCACAGATGTACCATAATGCCTCCCCTCCTGCCTTCCTTTCCTTCCTTTTTCCTTTCCCCGTTACGAATGCAAATGAATATAGGATGAAGAAAAAACATCTCTTTCTGCAGTGTTCCTTAAAAAGGAACTTGAAGTTTAAAATGGTATGTTAACCAAAGTAAGCACTAGCAAATGACATGAAGAGTGGTGGCTCTGCCAACCCTGGAGCATGTTCTGGGCCTGGCTCAGAGAGAGGTCTGGAGATGTGTGTGGACTCTGAAGCCCTACCCTGTTAAAGCATGGGAAGGAGAGAAGACCTTACAGTCACCCTCCTGGCACTGTTGCAGATTGAACTGCAGAGCCCTGTCACACAGTGGAACCTCCTGTGAGCAATTCCTACTGATTTAGTGCTTTAATGTTGAGGGGCCTTGACCCTTGTGCTATTTGTGTTGTGTGTTTACCAAGGGACTGTCCTGTGGTCATGGTCACACATGAGCATCATCAGATTGGATGGTTAGTGTTTCTGTCCACTGTGAGCACCAGCTACCATTATTTGTCACATGGAGAAACCCCTTCATTACTTCAAGCTTACTTTTAAAATTGTTTTATTTTTAATGCTTTATTATTTTTATTTTATGTGTATGAGTGTATTGTCTACATGTATGTAAGTGCACCCATGTTGTGCATCTGTTCTGTGTAGGTTCACAGTTCTTGACTTCAGCAGTTCTCAAGTTCCTACCATCATTTCTTTTTCTTTTCTTTTGTTTCTTTTTTATTTTTGTTTTGAGGCAAGGTCTTGCTGTGTGATCACAAACTTGTGATCCTTTTGTTGTTTTTTTCTTCTTCTTCTTTTGAGATAGGGTCTCCCTGAAGCCCTGAAGCTGGCCTGGAACTTGCTATATCTAGACTAGGCTGGCCTCAATTTCAACAGAGATCCGCCTGTCTCTGCCTCCAGAGTGCTGTTATTAAGGGCAAGTGCCACCTTACCTGGCTTCGTTTGTGATCCTTTTTTCTGGGAGGAGGGCAGGGGGTCTTTTTGAATCAGGGTCTCCCTGTATCCCAAGTTGGCACGTAGTCTACCTGCTTCTGCCTCCCAAGTGCTGGTACTAATGGTGTGTGCCACCACTCCCTGCTACTTGTGATCCTTTTGACTCAGCTTCTATAGTGCTGAGGTCACAGATGTACCATAATGCCTCCCCTCCTGCCTTCCTTTCCTTCCTTTTTCCTTTCCCCGTTACGAATGCAAATGAATATAGGATGAAGAAAAAACATCTCTTTCTGCAGTGTTCCTTAAAAAGGAACTTGAAGTTTAAAATGGTATGTTAACCAAAGTAAGCACTAGCAAATGACATGAAGAGTGGTGGCTCTGCCAACCCTGGAGCATGTTCTGGGCCTGGCTCAGAGAGAGGTCTGGAGATGTGTGTGGACTCTGAAGCCCTACCCTGTTAAAGCATGGGAAGGAGAGAAGACCTTACAGTCACCCTCCTGGCACTGTTGCAGATTGAACTGCAGAGCCCTGTCACACAGTGGAACCTCCTGTGAGCAATTCCTACTGATTTAGTGCTTTAATGTTGAGGGGCCTTGACCCTTGTGCTATTTGTGTTGTGTGTTTACCAAGGGACTTTCCTGTGGTCATGGTCACACATGAGCATCATCAGATTGGATGGTTAGTGTTTCTGTCCACTGTGAGCACCAGCTACCATTATTTGTCACATGGAGAAACCCCTTCATTACTTCAAGCTTACTTTTAAAATTGTTTTATTTTTAATGCTTTATTATTTTTATTTTATGTGTATGAGTGTATTGTCTACATGTATGTAAGTGCACCCATGTTGTGCATTGTCCATGGAGGTGACAAGACAGTGTTGAATCCCTTGGAACTGGAGTTAGGGTAGGCTGTTAGCTGCCATGTGGGTGTTAGGAACCCAACCCAGGTCCTCTGCAAGAGCAGGTAGTGAGTGCCCTTAACTACTGAGTCATCTCTCCAGCCCAAGCTTACTTTTAAAAATGTAGCTCATTTTAGGCCAGGCATGGTGACTCACATCTTTAATCCCAGCACTTGGGAGGCAGAGGCAAGTGGGTCTCAGTGAGTTTGAGGCCAGCCTGGTCTACATAGTGAGTTCCAGGCCAGCTGGGACTACAGGGAGACTCTCTATTCCCCCAAGCCAGGCATGGTGGCGCACGCCTTTAATCCCAGCACTCCCCAGCCTGGTCTGCATAGTGAATTCCAGGACAGCTGGGGCTACAGGGAGACCCTGTCTCAAAAAGACAACCCCCCCTAAATATAGATACATATATGTAAAAATAAAAAATTGAAGCTGGGCGTGGTGGCGCATGCCTTTAATCCCAGCACTTGGGAGTCAGAGTCAGGTGGATCTCTGTGAGTTCAAGGCCAGCCTGGTCTACA